TTTGGTTGTCCGAAACCCAAGGGTTCTTGTCCAAAAAGTTTTGCTCAAAACTCAAAAACAATCGGGCATATATTTTACTGCTTATTATCACATAATCAGCCTTTTTGCAGGTAAGTTAACAGGCCTGGTTACTAAGGCCAGGGGCCCGTTTCTCGAAAGTCCCGATAATTAACGGGCCCGGTAAGCTGTCTCCGTTTACATTAAAGATCGAGGTTTCAATAGTTTTGCATCTAACATGATAAAACTGTCAGTTAATGAAACTAAATGGGGTAGTTTGCTAGCCACGACCCGCGTTCTTATTCTTTATATTTCGATTTGAATTTTTGATTTCGGGCCCGTAAAGTTACCGGGACTTTCGAGAAACGGGCCCCAGGGGCCCGAAATATAAAGAATAAGAAATATAAAGAATAAGAGCGCGGGTCCTGGCCAGCAAACCACTCCATTTTGTTTCATTAACTGACAGTTTTATCATGTTAGATGCAAAACTATTGAAACCTCGATCTTTAATGTAAACGGAGACAGCTTACCGGGCCCGTTAATTATCGGGACTTTCGAGAAACGGGCCCCTGGTTCCTAACCCAAATGGAGCTCGTAAAAAAAACAAATGATTGAAACGGCTGTGGAATGGTGAAATTTTAAAGGAATGTTTAACCTTATTTTGACAAGCATGAGGTTTGCTTTTATGACCATAACATAAATTTTAATTCTACTGTAATTTGAAGTCAACTTTCATCTGTTTCTGTATTTTTTCTAATTAACAATGTGCTTGTCCCACGGACAAGTTATGTCAAAGGTTTACTTGTCCGAACTGTATTTCTACCTGTCCCGGACAATCGGACATAGGCTTTGGCGCACCCTGACTGGTTTAGCATTGAGCGAAACCGTTTCTTGAAATGAACGCAGCTTTTCATTGTTTTGAAGAGGTTAATATAACTACAGTCAAGGCTGTCTCAACCCACCACCTTGAGAGTCAGAGGCACCCAACGGCAATTTTCGGGAAAATATCTGTTCCAAAGACGATTTGAGAACTAGAATTTTCGGAACATTTGTTGTAAAATTTCTTGCTTGCCTGCCTCTCCTAGGATTTTCGAACATCTACAAAATGGTAAAATTACCCATTTTAAACGGATATTTACCCTAAAAAGGGCCACCTAGAATTTTCGGAAGCCTTTTCCTGGCTGAAATTTTCGAAAAAGTAAGTTTTGATCCCAATAATTTTCGGATCACTAAACTTTCAGCTAGGAAATCCGAACAGATGAAAGGTTTTTAGGGGATAAAAATATGCCTATATCTACTGTTTAAATACTAAAATACGTTCAACAATGCTATGTTAAGAGGTTTTGAGCTATATCCTCGTTGGGTGCCCCTGGAGAGTCCATAAAAGTAGTCGTAACCAGAGCCGGGAACGAGAATGGGCTCGTAAGCGACCTTATATAAGAGGGCTTAAGCAACAACGACGGCGACGGTTACGAAAACGTCACTTTAAAAGTGAAGTCGCGCTGCTTCTAACTTTATTGCACTTATTCCATCTCGTTCACAAATGTTGGCAATTATTTTCTGGAGTTCAATTCTTAAAGACTGTATCGAAGTTCAGGAGAAGAAAGAGAAAGTCGTGGTCTTGCGTCCACGTACGTCACAAAACGTGAAAATAGGCATTTTCATGTCGTAGTAGTGCAGTGACGGCAAAGAAATGTACAAAAAAGCGTGATGCACGTGCAAAGTTGTTGTTTGCCAATCTAAACCAATTGTTTTTTTGCCGTTCTTGTTGACGTCGCCGTCGTCGTTGCTTAAGCTGACCTACCAGGCGGTCGCGTAAGACTTCTTTTAGCAGAAGTTCAGGTGAAATAGAAAATTAAAGTAGACGTTTATTTATTGTTACTTATCGCTTTCGAAGTTACCCCAGGGCCGGACCAATATTCAGGGTCTTTTAAGAGAAATAAAAGTAATACCTCCGTCCTGCAAAAGACTAGACTTTGCGCTTTCAGAAAAAAATAGTAATAAAAATAATTGCTTTTTCGACCGGTAAATCGTTAGGCAAGTACTTTCCGCGTACTGGGAAAGATTAACAACCGGAACGGATCAAAAATGTTTTCCCAACCGGGTTGTTAAGGTCAGCCGTTTACTCTATACTCCTGATGGCCTAACCCATGGCATCATTGCAGTACAAATTTCTTTAAGTTACCAAAAGCCTAATTTTGGGAATTACTTTCAGCTACAAAGCCAAGGGGTCCGCACGACATTTTTGCTAAGTTACTTTAATACGATTATAAAGGGATCCGTCAATCGTTTGTCTCACGATTGTCGCATAGACAGTATCGCTCGCGACGTTTCGACCGCGCACTGTAGGTCTTCGTCAGGCAATGGTATCGATTTACTGAGTAGAACTGTTAGTACTATTTGTATCCACAATGGCTGTTAGTGATTGGTGTATCACGAACCTCGCTCAAAGTTTGTGGGTTTCCATCCAAAGAGCGAACCGCGAAGACAGTGGAACATCGAAATTTTAGCTGGATCTTTGGCTAACATATAAATAGGGCGTTGCGAGAATTGTGGTGATTGCAAAGTCAGATTTTGCTTCATAAAGCCGGAGTTTTTGCTAGCGCAAAAGCTGAAGTCTTTAGCCATCTCAGTTCACTAGGTGTTCACACTTGTAATAACACAATCTCACCGTGCCTATTTGCCTCTTCCAATCGGTAGTTAAGTTATCCATAAACATTTACTATTTTAACTGAAAGTGCTTTTATTCACAAATACACAATCCCTTTTCACTTGCAAAAGGCATCAACTTAGAAAAACTGCCATCAATGCATGACTGTCTTCAGCTGCCGTTTATAAACTGCATGAGCTTGCAAGCCATAGAATTAATAAGAAACTAGCAACAAATTGTCAGTTATCCTCTACTTGTGAGTCCCAGCAGTGTGAATTTTTTTGAGTTTAATTTTCTTGAACGTAAACTCTAACTAACATGTAGATTTAGCCAGGGGTAAGAGCGAAGCTCACACCCTAGATACTTATAAACAATTAATAAAATCGTGTAACTGGGCTAAACGGCGACGGCAATGAGGACGGCAACAAAATCAATAGATCTCATTGGCAAAAAAAATTATCAATAACTTTGCACGTGCAGCAAACATTTTGTACATTTCTTTGCCGTTGTTTTGCGCGATTAAAACGTGTGACTTCCTAGTCAAACATGTTCTTGTGTTCCTGTTCACTTTTATTTTTTCACTGCCGCTCATTTTCACCTTGCTGGCCGCTAGCATTTCTCATTTTTCTCACCTCGGCTATGAAATTTTCATTTTTTTTCTTCCAACGATTTTCATTTCCTTTATTTTTTAATCACTGCTCTAGCCCTTTATCCAACATACTGGTGAGAGTAGACGTGAAAAATAACATGCAAAAATGAACAGCATATCGGATCTATAAAAGACCTACGGCCCCAAAAATAAGTAATCAATTGACATTTAAACTGCAAAGGACCGCAAACGAATATGCCGCAAAATGTACGATCTATAAAAGACCTGACCAGCAAAAAAACACTGAATAGACACATTAAGGCCATTTATACGAGGAAAAATAAGATGCGTCTTACATAAGACGCGTCTTAAATAAGACGCGAACTTTCCGTATAAACGGCACATTTCGTCTAAAATAAGACGCGGCTTAGCTAAGACGCGTCTTATTAGGTAAGACATGCTCGTATAAATGGTACAGTTCGCGTCTTATTTAAGACGCGTCTTATTTTTCCTCGTATAAATGGCCCTAATGAATTCTGCCAAGCTGATCGTACTACGTGAGAATTAGCAAAGTTAATTTTCACTCAGTACGATCACCTTTGCAGGATTCAGTGTGTCTACTCAGTGTTTTTTTTGCTGGTCATGTCTTTTATGGTTTAAATGTCAATTTATCAACAATAACGTCGAAAAAGACTCGACTTTGTTATTGTTTTTTCTCTCTAAAAGTCTGCCGGGTGGCCATGCGATTTCCCGCCCAAAACACCTCGAGTTATGCCTGTAATGCGGACGGACGGTCAGACGGGCGTACGGTCACTTGATTACAAAAATTCCTCGCATGGATGAATTACCAAATTTTCTCAGGTATGGGGCTCCGCTTGCGTGAAGCTCTGCTATATTAATAGTAGCCTATTTAAAGTATATTTACAGTATAGGCCATAATCATAACTATAATAAAATTGTCAAATCTGATTGGCTCTCAACTGCCCTGATTTCAGCCTTAATTGGACAGTTTAATAGGACAGTACGCGTCATGCCTAAGTAATTGGACAGTACGCACCATCACGCGCACGCTTAAATGGCTTTTTTTTCACTGCTAGCAAAACAAAAATTCGAATTTCTTGTGTTTTGGTTTTAAAAATAGCCTATTGTATCACAAATTTTGTTAAAGTTATGATTAATTGGTAACAGAACTTCGTGTCGTCCAATTCAGTCTGTAATCATACTCGTGATTAAACAAATCGGACTCCCGCTACGCGGTCGTCCGATTTTGTTAATCACTCGTATGATTACAGACCGAATTGGACTCCATTCAGTCCTGTTACCATTACTTATAGGGATTCAAACCCCCTCCGAGGGGTGTCAACAGTGACTGACGTTCAATAACTTGTACGCGTGATGTGGACGCTGTGCCGGTCCACGTAGGGGCAGTCATTACGTTGGCTCTGATCCTATTCATGTATTAGTCGGACTACATTCAGAAATAGCCTCGTTACGGAATCTCTGAATGCCCTCAGGAACACATTGCTAACTTCAGCCACAACTTCCGTTGGGTATTTTAAGCGCTGTATTTCTGGTATCACGCCTAACCCCAGAGGGTTTTTATGAGTAGTCGGTGTCTCTCTTTTGCTTCAGTGCTTGTTTGTTCGTTTGTTCGTTTGTTTGTTTGTTTGTTTGTACTAACCTTTAACTGTTATCTTGATCCGCTTGAAGTCAGTCTTGCCAAAAGCCGTCAACACGCACTTGTACAGACCAGCATCTTCAATTTTAGCATGCGCGATCTTGAGGAAAGGCCTTCATGGCGTTGGTGTATCTATCTCTAACAAAAGTGACCATGTTGTCTGGAACAGGCACATCCCCTGTAATCGTTTGTTTTTTCCACTGTAGCTTGGTGACTGAAACACCCTTTGATTCACATTTGACTTTTACCTCCTTGCCTTGTAGCACAGTTACTGATCTGCTTGGTCTCAGCCTGAAGTGGTCTGCCAACTGAGCTGCCGTGGAAAACGACAACACGTTGATCTTAATTACTATTTTATCATAATCGAACAGGATTTCCACGAAGAAATTTTTACCCGTATTTTTCTGAGATCCTCGCCCTATTATTTTAGGGATTTACTAAGCTATGCCAATAAATGACGATGAAATAAATCAAAATGTTATTAAAACATCAAATTTGGCAAAGGACGGTCAAAGAGATTTTGTTTGAATTGCCGGGTGATTCCATTGAAGGATTGAAACTCAAACGTCGAGAGTGCCGTACTGTGGCTGTTACCCCTCAGCATCATTCAATAGCTTTATTCCAAGGGTTTAAAAAAGGGATGAAGATTTCTCAATGGATGGTCGAAAGGGCTACACCTTTTTTGTCAAAATGGTAGCGGTAAATGCAGCAGAACTTGGGTAAAGGTTTTCACTTCAGGACGGAGCTTTCTCGTATTTAGGAACCCAATGCCTGCCACTATAAAATTTTGCTCAATTTCCTCCCCCCTCACCCCATGCCTTGGTTAAAAGCCCAGTTATTATTCAATGTGTAAAAACCGGACAAACCTACCTATAACTCTCACAGTTGTCAACCTGTAATCTGATTTATCAGGTTCTACCATTACGATGCATTTGTATGAACCAGAGTCTGTTAATTGGGCATTAACAATCTTCAGAATAGCCTGCACTCTGTTGGTTAGCAGATCTTCAATGATGGTGACTTTACTTTCGGGGACAACCGAATATGATCCTTTATTCCCTTTCTTTTCCCACTTTAGAGTGGCATCTGCAGCACCATCACATTCACAAGTTACTCTGCTATCCTGCCCACGAAACAGAGTGATAGATTTGTTCGGAATCAGCACAAAATGTTTTGGCAGTTCAACTGAAGAGAAAATGAAAAATTAAAATTTTGTTTTTAATACTCCTCTCATGAACATGATAAATAAATGAATAAAAACTTTTGATAAAGCACAAGAATCTCATAGACTGAAAAAAACAACAACAACAACAACCAAACAGAGACAAAAGTGGACAATATACTGTTAATGTTTTAAAATATAAACATGATAAATGCCACATATTTTTATGACACACAACCCGGGAGAAGAGAGGTCCTTCCTACCATGGCCTATACGGGGAAGCTCCGCCCGAACGGGTACCGTTTTCATTCTTCAAGGATGAAAAAAGGGTAAGGATTTAATTAGTTCAGGTAGATGAAAGCGTGGGAAGATATGTTATTTTCTTCTGCAAAAAGGCGCAAAAGGGCTAACATGCATTTTATGTACTGTGAAAAAGTCGAGAAAACGTTCTGATTTTGTGATATATTCTTCCTTAAAGACAGTTTTAAGTAGGGCAAAAGGGGTGCGTATAAATGGGTAAGGGGGCAGACCTCGGGACGGAGCCTCCCCGAATAAAACTTTGTTGAGTACGTATCCCCCGGGTATCACGCAACTCTTGCGGAAACCGTTCCAGTTTGGCGCATAATTCTTGAATTTACGTTCCAAAAAATTCAAAATTCAAAATTCAAAATCCAAACTTTGGGAGCCGATATCAGTAGTGTGACCTTCCCAGAAGTTTTACCTAGGTAAAAAAAAACCCGAGATGAATTTACTTACGGAGATTTTTTAATGAATTTGCCCTAGGTAAATCGGTTTTACCTAGGTAAAAGTAAAATTCTGTAGTGTGACCACAGCTAATGTCACCGGTAAGTCGAAATAAACAATGATATTATGAGCACGAACTTTCTAACAGCTATACTCAGTCACGTTGCTTGTCTATAAAGTGGGGGTCTACGTCACACTATTCGCTGTCTTTGAAAATCTAAAACTGATCTATCAATTAAATACCAAAACAAAAATGGTCCAGTTTTTAAAATTTTGCAACTCAGACTATATTAATTCAGGCACACCCAACGTCAATTTTCGGAAAATATCTGTTCGAAAGACGATTTGAGATCTAGAATTTTCGGAACATTTGTTGTAAAATTTCTTGCTTGCCTGCCTCTCCTAGGATTTTCTAACATCCACAAAATGGTATAATTGAACATTTTTAACGACCCTAAAAAGGTCACCTAGAATTTTCGGGAGCCTTGTTTCTGTCTGAAATTTTCGAAAAGGTAAGTCTTGATCCCTATAATTTTCAGATCACTAGACGTTCAGCTAGGAAATCCGAACAGATCATGAAAAATTTTTAGGGGATAAAAATATTCCTATATCTACCGTTTAAATACAAAAATAAGTTTAACAACGCCATGTTTAAGTGGTTTTGAACTATATTCTTGTTG